TTATGTATTTTTTTTATGTATGTTCTTTGAGTAAATCGAAAAAGTTGTACGTGTGTTCTGTCGAAAACTGGAGAGGTCTATTTTTTTCTTTTTCGTTCTCAGATTTCCACCCTCTTTCTTCGGATCTTCTTTCCTCGCTTCGAAACTTCTCTCACGAAACACCTGTTAGGCGTTGCTGTTGTTGATGCTAATCTCAATTAGTATTTATCGCCGAAGTGGCGACAGTAGACGAACGCAAGTCTCTACGTCGTTGAAATAAACGCATGCGTCCGCCTTTTATTGTCGCCATCTCTGGGGCGCGATGCGTTTTCGTGAAATTATTTCTCTTTTTCTTTCTCGTCAATAATATAACTTTGGTTTAACAACGCACGATAGAGCCACGTCGTGATCGAGAAAGAAATGGACGAGACGAGCCCGGCAGATTTTGTTCGATAAAATCTTTGATCGCCGCGCCGATTTCCGGCGTTTATAATTCACCCGAAGTTCGAGTTTCGAGTTCCTGGAAAGAGAGAATGTTTTTGAATTCTTTATTTCTTCGACCGAAGAATCCTCGCGTTACATCGCGTGTAAATCAGTTAACAGCACTTTTCAAATATCGTCGCTTTGAGAACCGGTCTGTTCTCCCGTGTGTATAAACATTTATACGCGAAATCAAGCAGAAGGGAAGGATAATCGGCGAGATTTCTATCGAGAATTATCCGAGACGGACGGCATTTGGCTAAAAGATCACTATGCGCTTCGTTGTGTTCCTCCTATTCGCGGATTCGACCAATTTCTACCCAATTTCATACGATGGCAGATTACCTCGGAAGCGCGTGTTTAAAAAACGTCTGAAAGTTTTACATAAATGGACCTTATTCACGTGGCGGCGCGGACGGCACGATTGGAACCCTTTCCTCACCCTCGCCCTCGCGAGCACGTCGCTCGATCCTCCGTACAAGATTCGCGGCTAATTGGCTGCAGCCACGAAGACAACGCCGCCGTTGTGCATTAAACAAGTTTAGTAAGTCAATGTGCGTCTTTTTTTTTTTTTCTCTTTTAAGTAGGTAAACGACGGCGTTGCATATCGTCTCCGCGGGACGGATTATCATTCTCGTGCATAGTCAAATTGTTTTATTTAACTTTAGAATGTATTCGATTATTGTGTGATTTATAATGTGATCTATAAATGAGAGAGAAGCTGATAGAAAAAAAAGGAAAGATTGAAAATATTACTTCTCTCCCTCGTTAATATCGACATTTCACTATCTAAAATTAGTTAAATTAATCGTATGCCATATTAATTAAGATTTAAATTATTCGAAGGTGGTTTAAAAATACAAAATACAAATAATAGGGAGCATACACAACATTAGAGGGTCTAAACCTCAGTCATAGAGAAGTCATATATTTAAAATTATAATATAATAATTATTGGAAAAATGTATTTTCTTTCTTAATTTAAATAGAATGGAAATTCTGGAAATTCTGTATTTTTCACAATCAAAATCGCACTTTGCTTCTTGTAATAAGGAATCCTAAACATAATAGAAAATACTTCATAAGCAATTGAATATTGTTCAACTTTAATTTCTTCTTTAATAACTTCTTTAATAACTTCAACTTACTCTGTTAACTCGTATCAAAGCGATTGTAAAATTGTTTTACAATCTTTTTTGACTAGCTTTCACCTTTTAGTTTTATGTATTTCTTTATTTAACATCTTGATATTGTTATGTGTAACGATCATATCATGATCGAAACATCTACGTTATTATATTATAATTTTAAATATATGACTTCCGTTTAAAACATGTAGTATTGTACCCCTATTATTTATATTTCATATTAATTAGTTTTACTAAATTGAATTAAATAACAGAGCAATAATTGAATGGAATATTACGCATAAAGTGATATAAACATAAAACAAATGATTTCCAGATATTATTTTTATAACGTGCGACTAATTTAACAGGAT